CTCATTTTATTTCAATTCAGGAACACAAACACAACAATCTTCAACACAGTACGTTTTAGGTTAAATTTATAACAACTCTTTTACTTTTATAAACAAATATCACCCGAGGCCAACTTCGATGTACCCTGCACGGCGAGAACATATAAACTAACCTCAACTCTAGTGGAAGCGTTCAAGTTCACTTCACACCGGACAGACAATGCCATCTAGTGGATTTTGGGGGAACTCAGTGGACAGCAGACTGACAATAGGGCAAATATACAGGAACCAATCCTTGCATATGAGATTTAGAACTGCACAAAATACAATTAGAACTGCACATTTTGTGTAGAACTGCACGTTACAAAAACGCTGATCTAAAAAAGTAGAGCTGGTAGAGAAAAACTGATTTTATATTTAGATTCAGCGCCTTAAATATAACTAAAATTAGTTCTAAAATCCTAGACATCAAAAAAAAAAATTTTTTTGTAGGCCTGTGTTATGCTATAACCGCCGGATAACCTGTTACGCTATAACAAGAACCTCTGCGAAGAACTAATCGCCTATTTCCCTTTGATACGATACGGACAACATAGAAGACGCGGCGTCCAACAATCTTTCTGATGTTGCATGTTTTTACCTTGCCGTTGCCTAGCAGTGATAGGGGTATTTTTACTGAGTCGTTGCCGAGCAACGAGAGGGGCATGCATATGTAAACACATAGACTAATGGGAGGGATATATGAAATATGCCGTTGATACGGGCTGACGTGCCATGATATACATGTACATACCGAGTTTCATAAAGACTGGTTCAGGCATTCTCAGTGACTGCAGCCAGTGTCGCGTCCTACATTCGAACTGGGCACCCCAGACCAGTCTGCTCTGCCCGGAAACGTTTATGGCCTTATTATCACACATGCGTTGACAAGAGGACAAGTAGGTCACACACGTGGGAGAAGTACATCAGTACATATTCACAGGTGCGGACCCACGCGTTACTTCCCCATCTTGGGTGGGGGGGGGCTGAAGTGGGTTTGTTCCCATCACGGGGGCTTGAGAACCGCTGCGATACTCTACAATCTGACATACTGTCAGTATCGTTACGTAAATCGTCTTACTGTCTTCTTCAATGTGAAACCGTGCAGTCTGGTAATGTTTATCGACGTTTCGGGGAAGGAGCGTTACTGTCTCCGTCTTCAGGTTCCACTCTGAGCTCCGTGTTCTTGAACCGGGAAGGGGAGAGGGTGCAGTGGAGGGGCTGGGAGGGAGGTAAACTCCCAGACAACAGTGACCTGACCTACAATCCCGGGCCGCCCTTACTTCTTTGCTGAGTCGTGGTTTCTTTCCGTTTCTTAATTGACGATTGTGCCGCTCGATGGCCTGACGACAGGGAGTGATGGGCAGAATGATGAATTGTGAAGGGTAATACAGAGTGTTTCAGGACTTTAGGTCATAACTGCAGGAGGTGATTTCCTAGGTCTTTGTGATCAAAAAAGTTCATACAAACATGTGTCCGATTTTTGACGGTTACGGAGTTATCACCGTTTTAAACTCAGAATAGAAGGTAAAGATTTCTGACAATAAACGGAATAAAATAATAAACTAGCATAATACATGATACATTTAAAGTATTAATGTAAACTTAACTTCGTGAAATTACCTTTAATTTGAATTTATTGGTGCTTAAAGCTGATTTTCGAAAATGCCACCGCAGGTCGCAACACAGGCTGCCGCTCTTGTGTGAACCGCGCCGGACATACCAACCCACCCCGCCTTAGGTAGCTCTCAAGTGGCGAGATAATGAGAACGCTCTGTCTGTAGCTGGCTAAAAATAGCGACCCGCCAGCTGACAGACGCGGTTCACACGAGGGCGTGTACGGGAATGAAAAAACGGTCATAACTCCGTAACCGTCCAAAATCGGACACATGTTTATATGAACTTTTTTGATCACAAAGACCTAGGAAATCACCTCCTGCAGTTATGCCCTAAAGTCGTGAACACCTGTATGTGATAAACTGGGAAGTACAATAACAATTAATTAGAAATGATGAATACGCAAGGATAATATGGATGATGAATTGGGAAGTATAATAAGAGATGATAAATTCATCATTCCCTATTTCTCATCCCTTATTATGAATTGGGAAAGAAACGGAAGACAATTTCCACGAGACTGGAACCCAGGGCATCCTGGATACAAGGCAGCGGACCCAGCCCTCAGCCTACGTAAAGGCTCTGCAGAACGAAGCTGCAACACCGAACATGGCTGCGACTGGACCCAACTCCAAATTGCGCCATCGCTGTTAACACGGCCCTCCGAATTTAAATCAGCCTGCGCCAGCTCAGCACGTGGGCACTACAATCCCATGGATCGAGCTGCAACACGTGTCTCCAGCACAGTCACTTTCACCTTTATCGTGTAAAAATATTCAATTCCATATAGAATGTATATCTCCACGCGCTGTATAATCGCACGTGAACCAAGAAGAAAGACGCGATAACACGGTTATACCAGAAAGGTAAAAGTGAATTCTCTCTGTGGGAAATAAACTTGCTCTTTATGGAACTTGGTCTTTCGCACTACGGGAAAAAGAAAAAGATTAAAATTACTTTCGAAGAGGGAGCTCAGGAGAATACGTACACTTAACAGGGATCAAATAACAGAAGGATGGAGAAGACTCCATAATTTGTGCCTCTCGCAAATTATTATTATTATTATTATTATTAAACTCTGTGGCCTGTAGTCCGCAAGCAAACAATACCGACCGAGCGACCGCCGCTTGTCGGTGAAGTTACTGCAAACTTTAGCGGATAGAGGGTGTCGCGTGGTCAGCGCAACGATCCCCACGGCCGTTAATTTCGGTTTTCTCGACCGGAGCCGCTATTCGCTTGAAATAACTCAATTATCCTCACGAGGCTGAGTGGACCCCGTTCCAGACCCACTGCTTCTCAGAAAATCTTGATAGCGTCGGAAATCGAACTCGGGACCTCTTGACCACTAGACCACAGAGGCGGTCTATTATTATTATTAATAATAGAATAATTTAATCAAGGAGGAAGTGACGGACATCGTGGTCACATAACATTCAGGTGGATTACCCTTTTAAAAAACTACTTAAAACAGATGTGGGTGAAAGTGTAAACTGGGGCGAGAAGTGTCGTTCATACAAGGGGATTTCCCCTCTCATAAAGTCAGGAGAATCACCACACGTAATTCTACAGTTCACCATTCAGCACGGAGTATAATTCGTTCAATCCAGCCCACACCCTCACAACCAATTTGGTTAAGAATGTCCTCTTTATAAGAGTCAATATCAAGGTATATAAAGGCCGCTCCATAGCTCAAGCGGTTAGTCGCTGGTTTCCCTGCGCGGCGACACGGGTTCGATCCCGGGTCTGGTCAAGTGGGATTTGTGGTGGACAAAGTGGCGCTGAGGCAGGTTTCCTCCGAGTACTTCGGTTTTCCCTTCCAATCTTCATTTCACCAATTGCTCCACAATCACCCTCACCTATCATCTGGGGCTGGTACAACAGGCCAGAAGTGGCCGCAGTACAACGGACTTAGTCCCACCCCACTAGCAATAGAAAAGAAAGGCATATACAAATTGTAAAGAGTAGAAAAATCTGGGATGTAGCTCATCGGCGTTTCAGAGCAACGTACTGCTTCCAACTTCAGAATAAAAGAACCCAAGAAGTAAAACAGCTTTAATTGCTGCTTATTTCTTGTTGATTGCTTATTCACTTATTCTTCGGTCCTGAAGATTGAGGCAGTATATTCCTCCGAAACGCCGGTAAATCTAAATCAGACAAAGCACCATATCCAAGAAGATTCACAGTTAAGAGCCGTGAGAATCTCAAATCCAACACTCACCTAGCTTGAGTTTATCTCTTCTCTTTTCGACCTGAGTTTCTTCTTCCCTGTCATTCTCATCGCTTCGTTTATCAGGCGGAATTCTTCCGTTTACGACTTCATCAGACATTTTTGTAACAATCTGCCAATTAAGATCACTTTCACATCCAACCGTTTCGGCTCCCAAATTGATAACAGATTCATTCAAGGTTTTCTCAATGTTTAATGTCACAGCACCGGTTTCCCGAGTCTTCTTGGTGTCTGTATAATCTGCAGACTTATTAACATATATCTTCCACCAAGTCTCTGCTTTCATAGGGGCTAAAGTGTAGAACGTCTTGGGGGAAGACGTTTGTCCTTCATCAGAAACAATTAACAAGAAAATCGAAGTTAACAACACGCAAACAAAACATTTAAATTCAATATACAGGTTCATGGTTGCCTCAAAACACATATAACGTCAACACACGTATTTACAAATAACTTTTCTCGAAAATAAAACGAAAACCGCCAATAAAATTTTCATATAATTATAGTCAATTATGAAAGTCTGATTTATTATTTTATATATTTATATCCGGAAGAAAAATATTGTCTTTACGAGGGGAATTCCTGTAGCCCACGAACAACGAATGAGTGATGACCGGTGTGAGCTGGAGGTAGTATGGCGTACAACTGACTAGTCAGGGGAACCTACGCGGATGGAAGGTGTACTTACCGTTGCGAGAAGGGGGGACTCCAGAACCTACTTTATACGAGTACGACATAAAAAGGGGGGAAAGTAATAGTGACTGAAGACGTACAGACTGCTACGAACCTCATACTAATCAAACTTGTCCCAATGCTTGAGAAACAATTCGGGTATACTGACAGTTTCCGAATAGTATACAGCGTAATATGGACGTAGCGTTACGCAAACATCAGGATGGCGTGGTCAATTTCCGCTCGTGTTTCGTTTAAAATTTGTCCCTGTGCTTAATTAGTTATGCACCATGCCATGAAGACATGGAGGCGTGGAAGTATAGCGCCACCTTCCTTGGCCCTGGCATTAGATAGGGATAAATGGTCAAGTTTCACTCATCTTCCGCTTTAAACAGGGGAAATCTCTCCTTGGTACCCAGTGGATAGGAGGGTGCACGAGCCCAAAGTCGGTCTGGACGTTGCGAAGAGTATTTTTTTTTTTGCAGTTTCGGGAAGAGAACCCGGGCCGTTTAGCCCGTAACCCGTCGTTATAACGATTGAGCTAACCCAACTACTTTGTATAGTTTCTTTTCCCTTTGGCGCTACAGCCCCAATTTAAGCCTTGACCTACCTCCATGAAACTCTCCGTTTCACTTCGGTTTACAAGATCTTAGACATATGGTAGGACCCCTTGGGTGGGTGATCAGCTCATCGCAAGGCCTCTACCTGTACACAAACAGGAAAAAACACAAACATCCATGGCCTGAGTGGGATTCGAACCCACGATCCCGGTTTCCGAGCGAGCGAAGACAGTGCATGCCTTAGACCGCTCGGCTACCGTGACTGGCAGTGTATAAGAATAATATATAAGAATTCAGTTCGTACCTCACAAGAAACAGATCCGAACCCACGATCCCGGTTTCCGAGCGAGCGAAGGCAGTGCATGCCTTAGACAGCTCGGCTACCGTGACCGGCAGTGTATAAGAATAATATACAAGAATTCAGTTCGTATCTCACAGGAAACAGATCCGAACCCACGATCCCGGCTTCCGAGCGAGCGAAGGCAGTGCATGCCTTAGACCGCTCGGCTACCGTTACCGGCAGTGTATAAGAATAATATATAAGAATTCAGTTCGTACCTCAAAGGAAACAGATCCGAACCCACGATCCCGGCTTCCGAGCGAGCGAAGACAGTTCATGCCTTAGACCGTTCGGCTACCGTGACCGGCTCCTGTGTGTAGTTTACGGTGCCGTAATGTTCCGAAGCAGAACCCTTTGACATGAGGATGTGCAGTACAGGAAGTGTTTTTCTCCTAGTACTGCGATACCCGTGCCAATTCTCATTTCACTAACTGCTTCACATTCATTAATCTTGCCATCGTGGGCGCCACATCGTCTCGGTGCTGAAAGCGTCGTGTAAATAACCAGCTTCACTTAACTTTAATAATATCAGGAAACTCGATATATCATGACATTATCCGTCAGCAGACATTTGCGCTTGTCTTAATTTTATAACATTAATCACAACAATTCCGGTCACGGTAGCCGAGCGGTCTAAGGCACGTATTGTCACATGTAAAAACGTAAAGCTGTCCCTGTATTAGGCAGTCGAGGCTCCCACATTTGCTAGACAATCGGCTCACAGTTGGCGGTGAGGTCGTCAGCATTAAGCGCCGGCCGACCCTTACCCATAGGAAGTTTCCTGGTACTCATTTCTAGAGGCTAAGTCAATCCCAGGGCCATGGTATGACTGGAAGATTTAGATCAACTAAAAAAAAAAAAGTGACCTCCTTGGGAATCGAATCCGTGACCTTCCGGCTTGTAGCATAGCGCCTCAAACAACTACGCTACCGCGCGCCCCTGGTAAGCTATATACCAGCATTAATTTGGAATGTCTCTGTGTATTCCAGATAAAGGAAAAAATATCCAGCATTTATTTACTTATTTGTGGTTTCTGTACCGATACTGACAGTAACTCAGATTTAGAGAGTCGAAACACTGGCTAATAATCTATAATGAAATAGAAATGATATGAGAGAAATCGGTCATGACACAAATTAAGGCACTAACCTGATGTTTGCTTAGAGAGACTGAGGAAAACCACAAATGTCAAGCAAGGTAGTCAGTGTACCATCTGAGATTCGAACCGATGATCTCCCGAATACAGGTCAGTAGCTTTACAGCCTGAGCCAATTTTTATCACCCCAATATTGGTTTTTATATCATAACACAATCGTCGCTAGCATAAATTATAATATAATTATCCAGCCTGTTGTGGAGGACGTTTTGTTCCCACTTGACTACTTGCGAAACAAAGTTCGAACAACTCAAACGAGCTTCAGCGTTTAATGAGGTATTGCAAATATTAACCGCAACATTTATTATTACGGCAAGTCCCAGCGCTTGCGCACAGCTACCTTCTTGCAGAGAGTTCGCAACGCGAAATTTCGTAACGCAAATCGGGTCTTTCCCATAGCCGTGATGTTATAATTATGGGCTACTTTTGCGAATAAAAAAAAACAGGTTCTTAAAAGAATTCAACGCCCCTACTTTCCTTTTTCACGATATGAACAGCATAGAAACAACGCCTCCAACAATTATTTAATTTTTGTTTGTCTATTCGTTGCCACGGTAACGATTATATCGAGCCGTTGTCCGGCAACGATATGGATATACACAGACTGATGGGTTGAATTTATGAAATACACCGGTGAGGTGGGCTCAGGTGCAGGTTTTCTAAAGATTCCTTCAGGCACTCATAAGTTTATACGTGAGGGTTATACATACAGTCAGCATGAAGATCATATAAGCCTAATTATATTTCTCAAAATAAAGGAAGTAGGCTAAATACATATGCAAAAACGCTGTCAACTGAATTATGCTATAAAAATATGACTAAGAAATTAACAGCAACGTGTAGCTTAGAAACCAATGCAAAAACAAACAGTTTTCTTACCTTCGATTTGTTCCTCGTGGCAAAACTGAATCAAAACCAATGAAACCGGGTCAAGGACGTTTCGTAGGGATCGCATTTATTCGTTCCCGTTTGGTTTACACGTATCTGTTTTTGTTCGGAAAGGATTTCGGATGAGAGATTTCGCTTTCGGCCGATAGTGGTGGCGGCGCGGTCTAAAGGCGCGTCCACATTACTCGTGCTCGTCGGGAGACTCGTCTGGCTTTTACTTGTGCCCGTAAATCTTCGTCCACACTACTTCAGTTGCTCGCCAGGCTTCGGCGCGTGAGGATCCGTATATTTACTCGTAGTGTGTATAGGCTGTAGTCGTATTTTAATTTATTGGCTATAGTTTTTAAATTAAAAATTTAAAATTTGCTTGTCTCGTGACTTGTCATGTCGTCCACATTACTCGCGAGCATAACGAGTCACAAGAGCACGAGTAATGTGGACGCGCCTTAACGTATGAACTGTCTTTGCTCGCTCGAACACTGGGATTGCGGGTTCGAATTATACTCAAGGCATGTGATGTCTGTGTGTGTTTATTCTGTTTGTGTAGGTATAGAGGCCTTGCGAAAGGCTGATCCCCCGTCAGAGGAGTCCTACGGAATGTGTAAAAGGACAAGAAACTGACAAGGCGGCCAGGACCCAACAAAGGGCTGTAGAGCGAGTTAGGAATCTGATGACGACACAAACCGAAGGTGAAGTCCGAATAAGCGACATTTCGTAATGCAAATGTTCATAAAGAGAGGAACCGTAAACACAACGAGCTACATCTGCAGCCATGTATCATTTGAATTTCTGATTACGACTCTTGTCCGGACTCTGTGGTTGAATATACAGTCAGGATAATTACACGTCAGAAATCATAAAGAGCAGTGGAGAAAGCGATTGCGACATACTTCAACCTCAAGGTCATTCTGAAGAAAGTACTCTTCGTCTTTTTAAAGCACGAAATTAAATTATTGTAGCGTGTACAGTCGCTGCTACGCAACGACAGCGAGATGGGAGGATATACCAGGGCCGTTTCTGAGCAACGGCTCGGTAAACACGTTCCCATAGGAAGAGACATGAACGCAACTATAAAAGAGCTGTTTCTGCGTTGTCAGCGCCGAGATGTTATAAGCAAAGGACGTCAGTTCTGTAAGGGAGTCTGTGAAGAGAGGATATGAGCCGGAGGCAGAGGAATAGTCATTGTTGAAGCCGTTACCAGGAAACATCTAGTAACAGACTGAGAACATTAGACCGTGTGCTCTAGTGAGCTGTAAAATGGTGTATATAGAGGTAAAGTTGTCCCTGTGCTTAAGTAATTAAGCACTACGTCATGAAGACGTATGGGGGGGTGGATGTATCCACGTTTTCTTGACCTCGGCACTAGTTTGAGGTGAGTAGTCAGATTCACGCCCCGGCCGTTTTACCCCTTGGAAAGAGCCTCCGGTACCCATTGTATAGGAAGTTGGGTGGACCCCAGAGACAGTCTGGATGACTTTGAGAAGCGAACATTTTTCACACTACCGGGACTCGAACTCCGACCCCTCGATCGTCCAGCCCGTAGGCAGTCGCTATACAAACTGAGCTATCTGGATATAACGATGGTGATCTAATTACAGTAAAACTTGGTTATAGCAACATCGGTTTCTGCGACACCTTGTCTATTGCGTCAAATATTCAATGGTACGACCTAATTCCTCATAAAGCAACTGTTTTTATACCTTGCTTAGTACGACATGCACAAATGCATCAACCTCGTATGTAACGTCATTTTCATTCCTGAATTTCTCTGATATCGTGGGAAAGTTCGATGTGTCTGACCACCCTCACTTTCTCTACTTGCTGACGTGACTGTCCTGGAAGAATACGACCGCGGGCTGCAAGAGGAGCGTGGGTTTTATGCGAAAACAAGAGTGTGGGGTGGGACTGCGTGAACAGTGCAAGAGGACGCGGCAGGTTGTTAACTGCATTCCTTTCCTAGAATCTCGTCTAACAGGACCTCACATTGTCTACTTACCCTATAGTGTTCCT